ACAAAGTCATTTAAAGCAACTCACAAACCGCCAGACCGCCCACTCTGCCTTCCTCTGCTCCCACTTACGCTGGGAGAAATCCGGAATAACCCAGCCCATCTCAGTAGAGATTTGTCACTCTGAAAGACACCAGCACGAATCACAGATTTTCTAACTTCGGTTTGGATGAAAACCCAGGACTGCTTCATCGTATCTCAGGGTATTTAGCATCAACTTTAATTAAAACCCCCCTCGCTGTGCCAAAACGCACGGAGATACAAACCTCCATGTTCAGCGTCTGCAACCCATTGCTTGAAAAAACCATGATGCTACATTTACAGTCTGAGGTAGACGCACAAATTAGGACCTGCCTGTAAAAATTTCCTCTTCTTCTGCAAACTCTCTCTCTCTGCACTGCCCCAACTTACCACAGCATAAAAAAAACCCCTACAGCCAAATCAATAGATTCTTGGGAAGGAAGGGGGCTGGCAGAGTGGTTTTTGAAGGCAAGCCAGCGAATATTCGAACCAGGGGACACACAGCGTGTTTTAACTGCTGTGATAATTCTGCATAAAGAGATGTAAGGCTCTAGCTCCTTGCTGTAGCATGCCATGTGTCCCTGAATAAAATTACTGCCATGCAGGCTGTTAGCAGAGGAATGCGTAAACAGACAATGTATCCTTGCATCAGTTCCACAAAATGTTGCACAACACAAATGCCTCTCGATGTGTCATTTCCTGCTTGGCCACCAGCCCAGCTCCTGACAGGCAGTCAACAAAAAAAAAAAAAAGAAAAAAAAAATAAAAAAGAAAAAAAAAAAGAAAAAAAAAAGAAAAAAAATTTTAAAAAACACGGAAAGATTTAAAGCTGTTCTACTCTAAAGCACATTCCATTAGCTCCAGACTTACCCCTCCACTCTCTGCCCTTGAAAGAAAAGAGGAGGAACTTCCTAAAAACTGTTATGGTTTTAAGTCGAGGAATCTCAAAAATCTTGATCACTTATCTGCGTTTTATAAGCCGGGTGAGCCAAACAGTTAATGCAAAGGCTGAGCAGAACCTCTCGCTGGCTTTCGCTGGCTTCTGCAGCGTGCACGGACAGAACGGCGATGTTTGCTCATACCTTTCATCACGTGTGCACCTTGCAAGCTGCGGCGGCAGAGAAGTATCTGGGAGCTCAATGAAACACAGCAGCTTTCTCCTACCGAAATGCTTCAATTCAAAGCTCAGAACCACTTTGCCATTCAAGCTGATAAAGAAAATTGTGGTGGGTGACTTTGGAGACCACATTTCATTAGAGACCAACTAAAGTCTTTGGAAGCCAGGCAAAATATAAAAATATATAAACCTCTCCTCCCTCCTTCCTCATGATCTCCCTCCTGAGCGGGTTTCTACCAAAAGTAGGCAGAAAGGAGGACATGGGTCCTATTCCACAGGTACTGCTATGGAAGGGCAAATCATTAATTCTGTATTTGGAATACAGTAAGGCAAAGGCATGAAAGAGGGGTTTGGGTAAAGGCTGGGGTTTTTTTTGTTCTGTTTTTTTTTTTCTTAATTCCTTTACAATGATCTCTTGCTATCTGTTGGTCAGTTATGACCTCACGACGACTTATTTCTCCGGAAAACTTCCTTCAGCCCTCCCAGCTGGAAGGCAGCTCTGCTGGCGAAGATGTGCGTATGGCAGAGGTTTTATACTGGATACGAGGAGAGAAAAATATCTGCCAGATTTCCCAATGATTCCCAATGATCTTATACAACCTTGTCTCTAGACTCCATCACTCAGAGTGCAATGTGCTGTCTCAATCCAGCACCAAGACTGTGCAACACAGTAAATGTCCCTGGATGGTAATCTAGAAAGACTGAAGTAGGTAATTAAAAATAAAAATATTTTCCAGGGAAAAGTCATCAGACTTTTTCTCCTATAGAAATGGCCAGGTTTTCTTAACAGAGCAACCTGACATCACTGTCTCTATTAAAATGCTTTAAAACAATAACAGAGAGGCAAGGCAGCAAGCTTCTACAAGCATATGCTTAATAGGACTAAACATCCCTTACATTTAAGAACCTGGCTTTCTGAAGCGCTAAGCATCCAAAACACCAACTGGAGTCACTGCATGCCATGACTGTTCACCACCCTTAAAGTCAGGCTCTAAAAGACTGTGATATCTGTCATGGTATTGCTGCTGCTCGTACCGCTGCTGGGAAGCACGCAGCACTCGTTCGCTCGAGTCAACGTGCCAAGAGAAGGTCAGAGTGCCTTGCCTATAAACAAGCCTTACAAATTCACGATCTAAAGCATGATGTCATGTCTTAAAATGATAAGCTGGCAACAAAGTAAATGACATTTTGTAAAGATGTGCATAATTTTATGTTTACGCTACTCAGAATGAAGGTTCTAATAAGTCATCGGTTGTGTTCCTTTAAAGGGAAGTTTTATAACTGAGATGAATCACAACTGCAAAAGATCAAAGTTAAAAAACATCAATGATGCCATGGGGTACTTTTTAATCTTGTAATGAATGATGATCATGTGCTCTTATGAAGTTGGTCCAACTGCCAACGCCAGATGTGTATATTAAGAAAAAAGTTGTTTGTGATGTGACAGCTCTGGTTGAGCTGCCAGAGAGAGGAAAACTAGGATAACGTGCTCGAGATGTCGAAGTGAAATACAGATCCTGGCAGAGAGGGGCACTATTTGCTGATACATAATTTGTTAAGAAAAACACATTTGCTATCAATCAGAGCCGCTCGAATTCCTTACTGCTCCCAACCACCTAATGTTCCTTACACAACGTAAATGCCAGATAAACTTCTCGGACAATTACTACCAAGCAGTAACAAATCTACATGAGTACAGGGACTCTCAGAATGAAGCAGTGAAACTCTTGCAATACTTCAATACCGGAGCTACTCTTTC